GGCTCTGGGATGCATCTCATCTGCTGGGCACCCTTCCCCTCCCAGGGTGCTGGGATGCATCTCATCACAGTATAACTTTCACGTGTTCCTCCCCTGCTTATAAATTCATAGCGCATCCAAATCCAGCCCGGCCAGCATCCGTTAAGCTCTTTTCACGTTCGAGGTACTGGGACGATGGACACACAACCACAACACCGGTGTACCCTCAAAGAGCTTCCATTCCATTGGCAGGAGGCACCGTACTCGCGATCTCCAGCATTCTTTACAAAGCGGCTCCAGCTGTCTTCGCCAGCACTCTGTTGGGGCCCTTCCTTTACCTGAATGACTCACCTGCATCTCTTCTCCCATCCAGATCCCACCATCCACAAGGCCCAGCTGGTGGAGTGGAAGCCACGGGACCTGGGGAACCCATTCTGGCTTTGCAGCTACTCTTAGTACCATGGTTGGTGAGTTGCTTGCTTCTCTGAGCCTTAGTTTCTTTCTCTGTAACACGAAGGGGTGGAACTAGATGATTGACAAGATGCCTCCCAGCCCTAAACCCTAGGCAAGTATCCCTTGAATGTGAAGCTTTGCTGGAGTATTCCCACTGATCTCAGCTCTTTGCTGAATCCCTGTTCTACTTCTGGAATCAAGATGGCAGAACTTAACCCCTTGGAGTCATTCGCTTAGTATTTTGTGTGCTGGCATCTTGTCTCCCCAGCTTTGTATTTTTTTCTTCTTATGAACCTGGCAAACATGTAGCTATGAATGTTTCCATGCACAAAGGATGGAAAACAGAAGATTCTATAGGAAATAGTGAATCTCTATTAAGTACAGCTTGTTTTTAAATGAGTAACAGCCATTCCCCAACTGATTGAAACCCACTTTGTTCCCATAGCTGCCATAATGTTCACAACTAGATTTTAAGCTTCTGAGGCGACTCCCCTTCTCACTTTGCAGAGATGTCATTGGCTGATTCTGCTGTCAGTCGGCATCATTTCTGATGGTGATTACATCATCATTGTCTGGCCTGGTTTTGATTGACAGCCCGTCCAACAAGTGACAAGGAGCATTAGAAAGTCAGGAGGATGCTGAATGGATTTTTCCCTCCCCTTCTTTACCCCTCATTCAAAACAAAAAGAATGTCTTGGACTTTTCCAGAAATGCTGGAACAAAGCTAGGCATTACCCAGGCCTTAGACCAAAACAACCTTTAAGTGCCTGAGAGGGAAAACGTCGGTCTAGCCGAGGCCCCACGTGTTCCCATGGCCGTGTTGGTCCGTGACAGAAAGCTTGTGACACACGACAACCCTGGGACGGTAGCTTAAGGAGAAGGATTGCCTAATTTTTCATCCTGGTAGCTCCACCATCTTATATGGTGCCTTGCACATAGGGACAGGGATACAGAAGGTGATTAATAAATACTTGTTCATTAGAAGATCACAGATGTAGAGCAGAGACTTCAGAAGCCATCCATTTCAACCACCTGATATTACGGATGAGGAAACCGAGGCCCAGAGAGGTTAATTAAATTATGTCACACAAAATAAGTAGCAGAGGTAAGATTTAAATCCAGTCAATTAATCAGGCATTTATTAAGGGCTTACTATATTCTGGGCATTGTGCTAAGCCCTGGGGGTACAAGAAAAAGCAAATAAAAAGTGCCTGACCTCAAGGACCTTACTTTTTTTTTTTTAAGAACCTTACATTCTAATGAGGAAGACAGTATTATTTAAATAGGCAAATAATCAATTGACAGGCATTTTTTAGTGCCTACCACTGCCAGGCATTGTGCTATGCACTGGGAATGAGGAGAGGCAAGAAACAGTCCCTGCACTCAAAGAGCTTACTGTCTAATGGCAGAGACAGTATACAAATGACTATATGTGAAGTTATATATATAATATGTAATGTAACAATGTAACATATAATTCATATATTTGTTGTTGTTGAGTCGTTTTCTGTCATGTCTGACTCTCCCTGACCCCATTTGGGGTTTTCCCAGTAAAGATGCTGGAGTGGTTTGCCGTCTCCTTCTCCAGCTCATTTGACAGATGAGGAAACTGAGGCAAACAGGGTGAAGTGACTTGGCCTGACTTACGCAGCTAATAAGTATCTGAGGCCAGATTCCAACTCCAGAAGATGAGTTTTCCTAACTCCAGGCCTGACGCTCCATCCACTGCTCCACCTCACTGCCCTGGCACATAATAGGGGCTTAATAAATGTGTGTTGATGTGAGGCAGAGACCACGGGTATTAAGAGGGACTGAGAAGGTGGTTGAGAAGCCGGTGACTTGTGCCCTAGTTAGGAGAGGTCAGCAAAGAAATACCCAAGGCAGGGTCTGGAGGGTGGCCAGTCCATCCCAATTCCACTCCAGTGTTTGGGGAAGTTGATAGACTGGGGCTGAGACTTTGGTATTTGTACTGATTACCTCCCGGGCAGGCGAGAGTTATTAAGTAAGATGCTGGGACCCTGAGATATCTGGGCTGCCCAGAGACTCGGAGGTCAAAGGAATGAATCAGGTGATGGCAGAGGCAGACTGGGAGTCTGGTCTGAGCCCGTTGACCTCAAGCCATTGGAGCTATGGGAGCCCTGGGAGCTGCCAGCTCCTCGGTGCCAGGGGAGGGTAGAGTCAGCTTTCCTCAGGGCTGGTGACGGGCCACACGCTTGAGGATGATGGCTTCCCCTGAATTCAGCCGCAGTGGAGGCCGAGGGCTCAGAACCTTCAGGAGGTAAGAGAGGGTGAGTTGGGGAACCCTGCGGTCACATCCTGAGATGGAAGAGCAGGGGGCCAACTGGCAGGGGTACCACTTCGAGTTGGCTTTAGTCAGATGCTATTGGGATCTGATGATGTTGAGTGGTATTTGTGGAATCTCAGAGTCTCAGAGTTGGAAGAAACCTCAGAACCCATCTAGTCTGACCCTACGAGAATACAAGCCTGGTGGCTTAGTGGGTAGAGCACTGAACCTGGAGGCTGGAAGACCTGAATTCAGATCCCGCCTCTGAGGCTTCCTTACTGTGTGACCCTGGACAAGTCACTTAACCTCTGTTTGCCTTAGTTTCCTTAACTGTCAAATGGGAATAATAATAGCACTTATCTCCTGTGGTTGTTGCAACGATGAAATGAGAAAATGATTGTGAAGCACTTAGCACAGTGCTTGGCACATAGTAGATACTATATAAATACTCATTTCCTTCCCTCTTCTCCACAATCCATGACAAGTCTCTGCCTAGTCTTTGCTTAAAGATATCTGGTGAAGAAGAATTCACCAACATTGTTCGGCAGAATTGTAGAACCTCAAAATTGAAAAGAACCATTTGGTCAATTCCAAAAACCAATAGTGATCCCCACAAGTGGGCATCCAGTCGATGTTTGAATACGGCTGGTGAGCGGAAACCTCTCGTCCATTGCACACTTGAACTTGTCAGGAAGTATTTCCTGCCTAAATTTCTACCTTTGTAACGGTCACTCTGTGAACTCTGGGGGCAGGCAGAATCTGTCTCTTCCACACCAGAGCCCTTAAGATGTTTAAAGGCAGTCCCCAGGGGCCCCCTAAGTCTGCTCCTCTTAAGTCTAAACCCCCTCAATTCCTTCAGTTGATCTGGTCATCACTGTTTGAAGTTCCCTCACCATCCTGGTTGCCATCCCCTGGACCTTCTGTGGCTTCTGTTCATTCAATGGCCATCCTAAAATGTGGTGCCCAGAGCTGAGCCCAGCAGGCCAGGTGTGGGCTGACCCTGGCAGGTCACAGCAAGACGTCTGTCCACCTTTTCTAGAAATGGGCACTTTTGACCTTATTTTGCACAGTGTCCAGTACAAAGGAGGCATTTGGTGTGTGCTCGTTGACTACCTGAGAGTTTGCAAGACAGCCTAGACTTGTCAGCTTTTTGGGTTGCCATGTCCCTCTGTTTACACGTGAATACTCAGACCCTCAGATCTTTATCAGGCTGACCGCCTCTCTAGGTACAACTCCTCCATCCTGTCCTTGTGAAGTTGGTTGTCTAAGCCCAAGTGAAGAATATCACGCTGAAAGATTAATCAGGAGAGTAGGTTTGGGAGACAGAAGTAAGGGGGACAGCCAGCCAGAGGCTAATTACAGACTGACAGGAATCTTTTGAATTGAATGCCTCTTGGCAGGTGGTAAGGATGGGGTGGTCCTGCAGCTGTAGCCTCTTTAAGGGGCTTGACAGTTACGCAGTCACTCAACAGATATAATAATTTGGTTTTGATTTAATTGTAGCCAAGGGTGACAGTTCCCAAAGATGGAAAGTTTGGGTGAGCTTGTCACGTGTGTGTGTGTGTGTGTGTGTGTGTGTGTGGTGCATGTATACTTTTTGCCTGTCAAAGAAAATGAAGGAACTGGCATAACTATAAAGTCTTAAACTTTTTTATTTTTATTTTTTCAATTTTTTATTAGTTAATTTATTTTTAGTTTTAAATATTCTCTTTTATAAGATTTTGAGTTCTAAATTTTCCCCCCTCCCCCAGTTGGCATGCAGTTTGATATAGGCTATACATGTATGATCACATTAAACATATTTCCACATTAGTCATGTTGTGAAAGAAGAATCAGAACAAAAGGGAAAAACCACGAGAAAGAAAAAAACAAAATAAAAAGAGCAAATAGTATGCTTCCATCTGCATTCAGACTCCATAGTTCTTTATCTGGATGTGGATAGCGTTTTCCATCATGAGTCTTTTTGTCTTAGATTCTTGCATTGCTGAGAAGAGCTAAGTCTATCAAAGTTGGTCATTGCACAATGTTGCTGTTACCATGTACAATGTTCTCCTGTTTAAATTTTTTTTAATTTTTTATGAATTTATTTTGATTTATCAACAATCACTTCCATAAGCTTTTGAGTTTTAAATTTTTCTCCCCCTCCCTCCCTAAGACGGCGTGCTGTCTGATATAGGCTGTACATATATATTCTTATTAAACATATTTTCACATTAGTCATGTTGTAAGAAAGAATTAGAACCAATAAAAGGAACCACAAGAAAGAGGAAACAAAACAAAACAGAAGGAAAAAAAAGAGCAAATAGTATGCTTCGATCTGCATTCAAACTCCATAGTTCTTTCTTTGAATGTGGATAGCATTTTCCATCATGAGACTTTTGGAGATGTCTTAGATCCTTGCATTGCTGAGAAGGGTTAAGTCTATCAAAGTTAGTCATCGTACAACATGACTGTTACTGTGTATGATGTTCTCCTGGTTCTGCTCACTTCACTCAGCATCAATCCATACAAGTCTTTCCACGTTTTTCTGAAATCTGCCTGCTCATCATTTCTTATAGCGCAATAGTATTCCATTACATTCATATAACACAACTTGTTCAGCCATTCCCCAATCGATGGGCATCCCCTCAATTTCCAATTCTTTGCCACCACAAAAAGAGCTGCTATAGATATTTTTGTACATGTGGGTCCTTTTCCCATTTGTATGATCTCTTTGGGAAACTGCCCTAGAAGTGCTATTGCTGGGTCAAAGGGTATGCACATTTTTATAGTCCTTTGGGCATAGTTTCAAATTGCTTTCCAAAATGGTTGGATCATTTCACAACTCCACCAATAATGCATTAGAGTTCCAATTTCCCACATCTTCTCCAACATTTATCATTTTTCTGTTTTGTCACGTTGGCCAATCTGATAGGTGTGATGTGGTACCTCAGAGTTGTTTTGATTTGCATTTCTCTAATCAATAGTTATTTAGAGCATTTTTTCATATGAGTATAGATGACTTTAATTTCTTCATCTGAGAAACTGCCTGTTCATATCCTTTGACCATTTATCAATTGGGGAATTAAGCTTTTTTTTAAGAATCTGTTTCAAGTTCAGGATGGGGGAGGCATGCTTAGAATTTGTCCAGAAAAGATCTTGGAATTTTAGTGCACTGCAAAGTTAACAGGAGTCAGCTGTGGGGTGGGGCAATGAAAAAAAAAACCCTAACTCCATCATGGGCTGCTTTAAGAGGAGCACAACTTCTAGGAATAAGGAGGTAATGGTGACTCCATATTGTGTTCAGTTCTGGGCATCACAGCTTAAGAATTGATAAGCTAGAGAGAATCTGTAATCAGTATGTGAAGGGCTTTGAGTCTGGGAAGATATGTGTGAGTGTGTGTGTGTGTGTGTGTGTGTGTGTGTGTATGTGCATGTATATGTGTGCATGCTGCTGGACTTTATCTTCCAATTAGAGGCAACCTCAAGTAGAAGAGGCCACCTCGGAATGTTGGTACATTTCTCTTTATTTGGAGATTCCCCAACTTCTGTCCTTGTGCAGTTGAATCTGAATGCTGAACGGCACTCATGGCCCTTGTTGACTTTCTTCTTGTTCGTTTGCATCCATAATCCTAACCTGATGAATTCCTTTTGAATATTGATTCTTTCAGCCAACACCTTGGCCCAGCTTTGGGTCATGCTTGCATGTCAATGACATCTTCATTCAAGCTGTTCATTTCCATGTTGGAAAGAATATGGCTAAAGACAAAGCCTTCTGGAATAGCATGAAAGATCCCCCTCAGTCAGTTCAGTTCACTCTGCACCTAAGTTCTCTGGAGGTAGAGCCAGAGTACCTAGGTTCAAATCAGCGCTGTGACACTGTGTGATCTCGAGCAGGAGTCATGACTCAGTTTCCTCAACTGTAAAATGGTTTTGGATTAGATGACTGTTATGAACCAAGTTTCTTTCTTTAAAAAAAAAGTTTTAACATTTTATTTTTTTCCGATTATATATAAAAAAATTTTTTACTCTTCATTTTTCACAATTCTGAGTTCCAAATTCTCTCCCACTCTCCTTCTCCTCCCCTGTCATTGAGAAGGCAAGCAATTTGATAAAGGTTATACATGTGCAGTCATGCAAAACATATTTCCCTATTAGTCATGTTGTGAAAGAAAACAGAGACTGGAAAAAAACAGTATGCTTTGATCTGCATTCAGATTCTATCAATTTTTTCTCTAGAGGAGGATAGATAGCATTTTTCATCTTACATCCTTCAGAATTGTCTTGGATCTTTATATTGCTGAGAATAGCTAAGTTATTCACAGTTGATCATTGTACAATATCACTGTTACTGGGTACAGTGTTCTCCTGGTTCTGCTCACTTGACTCTGTATCAGTTCATCTAAGTCTTTCCAGGTTTTTCTGAAAGCATCCTGCTCATCATTTCTTATAGCACAGTAGTATTCCATTACATTCATATACCACAACTTGTTCAGTCATTCCCCAATTGATGGGCATCCCCTCAGTTTCCAATTCTTGGCCACCACAAAAAGAGCTGCTGTAAATATTTTTGTAAAACAGGTCCTTTCCACTTTTTTGGATATCTTTGGGATACAGACCTAGCAGTGGCATTGCTGGATCAAAGGGTATGCATAGATTTATAGCCTTTGAGCATAGTTCCAAATTGCTCTCCAGAATGATTGGAACAGTTCAAAACCTACCAACAATGCATTAGTGTGCCCATGTTCCTATATCCTTTCCAACATTTGTCATTTTCCTTTTCTGTCGTATTAGACAATCTGATCGGTGTCAGGTGGTGCCTCAGAGTTGTTCTAATTTTCATTTCTCTAATCAATAGTGATTTAGAGCAGTTTTCATGTAACTGTAGATAGCTTTGATTACTTTGTCTCAAAATTGCCAGTTCATATCCTTTGACCCTTTATCAATTGGGGAATGACTTGTATTCTTATAAATTTGACTCAGCTGTCTTTATATTTGAGAAATGAGGCCTTTGTCAGAGAAAGACTAAGTTTCTTTCTAATTCTACACATTGGCAAGTTATTGACAAGCTTTTCACATGTTTCCTCTGTTAGAATGTAAGCTCCTTGAGAGCAAGGACTGTTTTTTTCCCTTCTTTCTGCCTCCAGTCTTTAGCATGGTGCCCGGACCATTGTAAGTGCTTAATAATAATAATAATCATAATTATAAAAATAACAGCTAAGATTTATATAGTGCTTACCATGTGCCAAGGATTGTGCCCAGCAACTTTACAATTATTATCTCATTTGTGATCCCAATATGACATGAATGTTATGTGTGCCAGGCAGTAGGGATAGAAAGACAGAAAGGAAACAGTCCCTGCCCTCCAGGAGCTTACATTCTGCTGGAGAATTGAACATGTGCACAGAAAAGGAAATACAAAGCAATACAGAGGGCACTAACCAGTGGCGATCAGGAAGGGCCACTTGTAGGAGGGGGCACCCAAGTTGGGTTTGGAAGGAAGGAAGCCAGGGATTCTTGCAAAAGTAGGAGAGAAGGGAGGGCATTCCACACTTCACTCAGTACATTAATCAACATTTTTAAGCTATGATTGCTCAACCCTCTTAAATGCCTGTACCATCCCCCCACATTTCCCCATATTGTTTGGGAGAATGTCATCAGATGCCTTGCTGAAATCCAGACACTTTCTGAATCTCCCAGTCTGGTAACTGTATCAGGCAAGGCTCCTACTGGTCTCTGCTCACCCTTGTAAATCCTTACAAATTATCTTTTGAAAAATTTACTCTTGAATTTTGCTAGGGATTGATGTCAAGCGTGCCTCCCTGTAGTTTCTAGAAATGACCTTTCCCCCATTTTTGAAAACTGGGGCAATACTTGCCCATCGCCCATCTTGGGCTGTCTCTTCTATTCTTCATCATTCTTTAAAGATTACCGACGGCCTGTTCCATAATCATTTTGGCAGATGTAATATGTCTGGGTCTGGGGATTTAAGCTCCTTGAAAAGAGCTTGTTCTTCCTATCTTCTCTCCAATCTCAGGCTTTGTTGCTGTGTTTACCCAGATCTTTTCAATTTGGAGATCATTTTCCTTGATAGAAAAGATGAATTAAAATAGCGAGAAAATAGCCTTGCCTTCCCTGCGCTATCTGCTCAAATTATATGGTCTGCCCCAAGTAGCAAGTCTCTTCTGTTTGCACCATTATTTTGGCCTGGGGAGCCATCAGGGGAAATTCGGGCATAATGTGTGTAGAACAGCCTGGACTCCTTGTAAGGTTGAACACAGATTTCCAATTCTTCCAACATCATTCCTCTGAGGCAAGGGAGGGAGTCAAGGTGGGAGCTGGAAGGTAGCAGCTGCTGCCAATGGTCCTGATGAGGGCACCAGCTTCTTTCCCGTTCTGTGGCTGTCCGTAGGCAGCATATAAAAGCAGAGAAAGCTCCCAGAACTGGGCTGGTCTTTTTTTATCTAGAGCTTGTGCTGTGGCTCTAAAACCGATTGTGCCAGATAAAGAAAAAGCAAGAGAAATAGGTGAGACGTTACCATCTCAGAGCATGTGGCTGTATGCATGCTGGTTGGGTGAGTGGCTTTGCCTGGGTGGCTAGGAAAAGTTATGTACTTTGGGCTGTGCTGTGAGCTGCTTGGAGTTCTCAGCGCAGGCCACACCAAAATTCTGAGCAGCAATGACTATACGGCTGCTGTTTCTTTTACAAACTGCCGCTTCCTTCCTTGTTTTCTCAGATGTGCCCAGGCCAGAGGTCAAGGCACTTTGGCAGTAAATGGTTGTGGGACCTTGACAGGTGGCCTGCATTTTGACAAGAAGGGACTTATATTTGCTGCATTACCATAAGGCAGCAGGAGTATATGCTCGGCATAAACTAATTCTGTCCGCTCCTTCCCTATGTTAGTGAATGATAGAGCAAAGAAATTAGCTAAATACACCCCCCCCCAGCATCCTGCTTTTCTGTTTGTCCTTCTAACGGAAATGCTGTCAGAATGTTAGCTCTGCAACAGACATTTTTAGGAGAATTGATATCTGCGTAACATTACCCCTGCTACCGGATGAAATGGCGATTAAATACCTAAAGACTCCTTGGAAGTTTCAACGATTATTTGGAAAGTAATTGTGTTTTATTGATGAAATCATTTTCAGTTAATTAGAAAGTAGCTCAATTTTTAAAAAGTTAATTCTTTGGCAAAAAAAAAATTGATCCTGTTTGTGTACCTATTAAGTTATCCCTAAATGTTGTTTTAATAATCATCTGATGTTTAATGAAATGCCTGATGATGGAATTTCATTTTTTTTTTGGGTGGTGCACTAGAATTTAACGATCTGAAGAAGAAGGTTGGACTCCTTTTAGTGGTAAATCTTGGTGCATGGTTCCTAATCTCCCTCAAAGGCCGTACTGATAACTCACAGCAGACATTCTGCTCACTTGAACTGGAAAAGAGCCATTGAAAAGCAAGTCACTGATGTGAATTTTAACACCTTCAGGTATGCTGTTCTTTCCACCTGTTCTTTCCATCCTTTAGAAACCCGTTTTCCTCCTGTAATTCAATTGATCGATCAATAAGCATTTCTTAAGGGCCTACGGTGGGCCAGATGCTGCCCAATACATTCAAAATGAATACAAGGTTGTTCTGGGAAGCTGATGAAGGAATCAGGGAAGGCTTCAGGGAGGAGATGGCATTTGAGCAGGGATGCAGAGAGGAGAAGTGAAAGCATTTCAGCCATAGGGAACTGTGCATGGAGACGGGGTATCTGTGTATGGAGAATACCGATGGAGCCAGGATGGCTGAGCCATTGAGTTCGTGGAAGGGACAGATGAATGTAAAGGCTGGCAAACAGAAAGAGGCCAGTAGTGAAGGACTTTAGATAAAGATGCGGCCTTTAGCTGCAGCTTTTTTGTTGGTTTATTTGTTCTTTCCATTTTCGTTGAGTTGCTAGTTTTCTTAGCTCTGCTTTCTTCACTTTGCTTCAATTACGCAAGTCTCTGAATTCTTTCTTGTCCTTGTCTCATACAGCACAGTAACATTCCATTACATCCATGGGCCACCATCTGTTAGCCTTCTCCCAAGCAATGGGCATCATTTTGTTTGTAGCTAAAAGAAACACCGCTCTAAATATTTTTTTAATAAATTTTTAATTTTTTTATTTTTAACATGTGTTTTTAAAGCTTTGGGTTACAAATTTTCTCCCTTCCTCCCTCCCCACCCACCCTCATTGAAAAGGCAAGCATCTCGGTACAGGTTATAGATGTGTAGTCATGCAAAACACTTCCATAGTAGTCCTGTTGTGAAAAACTAAGTATATTTCCCTTCATCCTATCCTACCCCCCATTTATTCTACTCTCTCTTTTGACCCTGTCCCTCCTCACAAGGGTTTGCTTCTGATTATCCCCTCCCCCAATCTGTCCTCCTCTCTATCATCCCCCTACTCTCTTGTCCCCTTCCCCCCTTATTTTCCTGTAGGGTAAGATAGATTTCCATACCCAATTGACTGTGTATGTTATTCCCTCCTTAAGCCAAATCCTATGAGAATAATATTCACTCATTCCCTCTCACCTTCCCCCATTTCCCCTCCACTGTAAAAACCTTTCCTTGTCTGTTTCCTGTGAGATATTTTACCCCATTCTACTTCTCCCTTTCTCCTTCTCCCAGTATAATCCTCTCTCACCCCTTAATTTTATTTTCCAGATGTCACCCCTTCATCTTCAACTCACCCTGTGCCTGCTATCTATCTATCTATACAAACATGTAATTTTTCCCTCCCACTACCCTAATACTGACAAAGGACTCATGAGTTACAATTATCATCTTTCCCTGCAGGAACGTAAACAGTTCAACCTTAATAAGTCTCTTATGATTTCTCTTTCCTGTTTATCCCTTCCATGTTTCACTTGAGTCTTGTGTTTGAAGGTCAAATTTTATATTCAGCTCTGGTCTTTTCCACAGGAATGCTTGAAAGTCCCCTATTTCATTGAATGACCATTTTTTACGCTGAAGGATTATACTCAGTTTTGCTGGGTAGGTGATTCTAGGTTGTAATCCTAACTCCTTTGCCCTCCAGAATATCGTACTCCATGCCCTCCGGACCCTTAATGTAGAAGCTGCTAAATCTTGTGTTATCCTGATTGTGTTTCCACAGTACTTGAATTGTTTCCTTCTGGCTGCTTGCAATATCTTCTCCTTGACCTGGGAATTCTGGAATTTGGCTACAACATTCTTAGGAGTTTTTCTTTGTGGATCCCTTTCGGAAGGTGATAGGTGGATTCTTTCAATTTCTATTTTGCCCTCTGGTTCTAAAATATCAGGGCAGTTTTCCTTGATAATTTCTTGAAAGATGCTGTCCAGGCTCTTTTTTTGATCATGGCTTTCAGATAGTCCAATAATTTTTGAGTTCTCTCTCCTGGATCTATTTTCCAGGTCAGTTGTTTTTCCAATGAGATATTTCACATTCTCTTCTATTTTTTCATTCCTGTGGATTAGTGTTACAGTGCCTTGATTTCTCAAATTGTCCCTAGTTTCCAATTTCTCCATTCTAATTTTTAAGGAAGTATTTTCTTCAGTAAGATTTTGGACTTCCTTTTCCATTTGGCCAATTTTGCTTTTTAGGGCATTCTTCTCCTCATTGGCATTTTTGGACCTCTTTTGCCATTTGGGTTAGGCTATTTTTAAAGGTGTTATTTTCTTCAGTATTTTTTTGGGTCTCCTTTAGCATCACTCTCAGTTTTTCCTCTACTGCTCTTACTTGCTTCTCAAAATCCTTTTTGAGCTCTTTCATTGCCTGGGACCAATTCATATTTTTCTTGGAGGCTTTGGATGTAGGAGCTTTGGCTTTGTTGTCTCCTTCTGGTTGTATGTTTTGATCTTCTTTGTCATCAAAGTAAGATAATATTGTCTGACTCTTTTTGCGCTGCTTGCTCATGATCTCGGCCAGTTACTTGAGTTATAAACTCTTAATTAAGGTAGGGATCTGTTTCCAGTGTGGAGAATGTACTGTCCCAAGCTTCAGGGGTTTTGTGCAGCTGTTTTCAGAGATACTTCTAGGGACCTGTAAATTTTCAGTTCTTCCAAGGTGCTATGATCAAGGGCGAGGTGTTTACTCCTTTCCTGGCCTGTTTTCTGGTCTATGAGTGACCGCAAGCACTCTTTTCTGTCTTGGAACTGTAAGAAGGGTTTCCTCTCCACAGCCACTATAAGCTCCACCATACCAGCGCTCCTCCTTGCCCCAGAACTGCCACCCAGAACTGTGACCCAGATCCAAGCATGGGCAAAGCAAGAGAATCCTGCCACAGCTGCCCGCAATTCAGTCCTCTGAGGCCTGCTCCAGGGTCACTGTGGCCTACGTGCCCACGCCAAACTACGCTCCTCCCCCCCCCCCCCCAGTGCAATATACCTTTCTGATCAACCATGCAGGCTGTCTTTGGCTGGCAATTTGTTTTACTTTGTCTTTCTGTGGGTTCTGCTGCTTTAGAATTTGTTTAGAGCCATTTTTTTATAGGTATTTGGAGGAGTTTGGGGGAGAGCTCAAGCAAGTCATTGCTTTTACTCCGCCATCTTGGCTCCACGCCCTGCTCTAAATATTGTAGTATATCTGGTTCCTTCCTTGTGACCTTTGATCTCCTTGGGGTATCTCTATGGCAGTGAACTCTTGTAGTCACAGGCTATGGGCACAGTCACGACTTCCTTCTCATCATTCCATTTTAGTTTTCCAGAATGTCCTTACCAGTTCCCAGCTTCAGCAACAGTCCATCCATAGTCCTGGCTTTCTACAGGGCTGGTTCATTTGAAACTTTGTGGGAATTCCCAATCTGGGGTCTCTGAACTCTTTAAATAATATTTTGATAACTCTATTTCAATAGAATCGATTTCCCTTGTAATCTTATGTATTTTGCTCTATGCATTTCAAAACCTTCTTAGAAGAGGGCCATGACACAAGAAAGGCTGAGAACCCTCATTTTAAAGAGAGCTTTGTGTGAATCCAATAGCTTGGACGCTGGGGTTTGTAGTCATTTTCATTCCCTGAGTGCCTGGAGACAGTGCGGGGCAGTGAGCGGGAAGAACACTCGGCCTAGAGGTCAAACACCCTCGCTTGAATCTTTCTCTCCTGTGTAGTAACTAGCTGGGTAACTTTAGGCCAGTCATTAGCCCCTCTGCGCCTCAGTTTCCACGGTAGAATGAAAGACTGGATTAGATCAGTCCCTTCCAGCTTGGAATCCTCCTTATTCTGAGAAACTTAGCAGAGTATTTCAAACTTTGTTGTCTTCTGGGACTGTGCGCAACCTGATGTCTCTACTTGCCGCGATAACAACAAAAAGAGAAAGCCTGTTGTCCATCTTACTGGTAGGGATAGCCCTACATGGGGCTGGTGGATCTTCATCTTCATCTTTGTCTTTGTTGAATGTTTGTGTATGCATGTATGCATGCATACATGTATGTATGTATGTGTGTATACACATATACACACATGTACATGCATATACATGTGTGTATTATATTTGTTCTTACATTGCAATATTTGCGACATACTGGAAACTTGATACATATGACTAATTGTATGTATTACTAATTTATATACATATATATACACACATATCTCTGTCTCTGCCTTTATCTCTGGGGGTTCAGGGAGCAACAGCGCCTCTGGCGTGGGGAGACTTTGTCAGGGCTGCTCACCCGTGTTTGGTGTCCACCCTCACCCAACTCTCACCAGTGCCTCCAAGAAACTGTAGCGTGGGCCGTGGCCACACGCTGGTAAAACCATCTTGGCAGACAGGCTAAACCAGGCTGAGGGTAACCGATGGGCCTCAAACCCATTGGTGAGTTAGCAGGATGCCTACCCCAAGTACATGAAGACTTCTTCAGTGGCTGAAGCAAGGCGATGTGCAGTGCTCAGGGCTTGGTCAGACATCAAAGACACCAAGGTCATCCACTGCATCCCGGGCCATTGCCCACTATCTTGACTTTGGTCCTGCCGTTGGACTTTGATGACTCTGGAAGAAAGAGTGAGACTAAGGACTTTGTGCGGCTCCGCCCACTTCACTCCAGTTCACGCGAGCCAGTACATCACCCATGACGTCATTGGTTCTCTTAGAAAATGAAAGACGGACCACAACAACCTTTATCTCTATCTCTATATTTACGCTGAGGACTAGTGAGAAATAAGGATTACTAGGTGACCGGTTTGTGCATGGCCTAGTACCTGAGCTGGGTAGAGTCTGGACTTTTCTCCTCTGGTGAACAGGCAGTCATTGATGGTTTCTGAGCGGGAGAGTAACACAACTTTCTGACTTTATAGGGACAGCGCTGCTTATCTCCTCCAGGCATACATCTCATTCTGTCTTCTGCCTCATTATCTGTGCCCTCCTGTTGAACATAGGGACTTCCCTTGGTTCTGTAAGTTTAGGGAGATATAGAGGTGGGAGTTCTTAGCTGGGGCCCGTGAACCCTCCATTGGGTCTGTGAACTTGTATAGGAAAAAGAATTACATCT